ACCAAATTTACAGAGTTGCTCCTTAAATCAAGAGATAGATGTATGGTTTTCACAATCCAAAATGCATCTCACTACCACAGAGACATAATATACTTGTCAGCACAACAAACTGCAATTGAGCAGCAATAAACTATGAAAGAAGTCAATGTTGCTTGCTGACACTGTGACAGAATTATGAAGAAGGAACATAATTATCAAGTGCAACCCCAATTTCCTCGAATAGTTTGTAATGAAACGGCAGGTTGAAATCAACTTGCAATATAACTGCCATAAAGCAACAAAAAGAAGGAACAAAAAAAAGCCAAATGTCAAGGATGGCAATAGCATATATTTGTAATAAGGTGGCTTCCGTGAAGCTCAAACACATTTCCTAAAAATTGGGTTCCAATATCCTTGTGGAATAGTGTCATTTTAATGAGTTATGATCTTTATCACATCATAATTGTCAAAAATGATGCATCGTGTGTCGCATCGACTTTTGTGAAATAATTGTTGCAACTAAATGTCTCGCTGCCCAAACACTGCAGCCCGCATATTTTTATAAACACATTCAATGACATTTTGCAACATGCAAAAGATGCATTTGTGAAGAAGTTTACAATGCATTAATTGGCTTAATATACTTACTTTTTGCAGCAAGACCAGTAAGTTGGGCTTCATCATCAATATCATCGTCATCATCATCTTTAGCATCCTATAAACGAAAGCATAAGCAAACCATCAGTAAAATAAAGAGACAAACAAATGAATCTAGATTGTTTAGAATATTTGTTTACGGAGGGAAATGAGGATGTGTAAAAATATAACCTATCTATATGGCAACAAGTACAGAGAAACCAATTAAAATGGGAAATCTAATTACGATACTGATTATCATTTCCAGTAAAAATAATATAAACTCTATAACAAAAAAATACTTGCAACAAAGAGAAAAGGGCATGTGAGTAACCTCGAAATCAAATACGGGGTGCTCATTATCTTCATCTGATTCAGCAACATCGTCATTTATGTCCAGTGGAATGACATCTCTCTGCTTGTGAACTACCATCGCAAACACCCACAATAAAAAGGGAAAACAAATTACGGCCACGCTATAATTCATACCAGGTCTAATGATACTTTGCTCTGAAAGATTTTAAAACTTTCACTAACTAAAAGTATAGCAGTGCACTCCAACCACTAATAGAGATATCAAAGGGTCATTTTTCTCTCTGCAAGATGTCAAAAATCGCACTTTTCCAAAAAAAAAAAATTGCCTTCGATCACTGTACGTGGTGGTGTTTGACAAAATATAGGGTGCAATATGAACCTGTTAATCCTTAAGTAATCTTTGAGGGTAAAATAAAATGTTTAAAATTTAATGCAAAATTTGGATCAAAATATACAATAATATGTTTTGCCAAAACAAATCACATATATTTTAGACAGAGAATTTTATATACCCAGCTACAGAATATTGAGTCAAATTTATGGCACTATAACATCAATGGAGAGAGAGAGTAGATTACAGGCATCGATTTCGTCGTCCATCATATCGTTGTTAGCAATTTCATTATATTGACGGCCTCTATTCTTCGGGTTCTTGTTGTCCCTCTTTTGATGCTTCCCTCTTTGTCCCATGACTCACCAGCTATTATGTTCCCAATAACGTCAACATCATGATAAAGGTAAAACTAAAAGAAATAAAAGTGAGTGAATTTCTTATTGAAAAAAACAAAAAATAAAAAGTCCAAGGATTGCATACCGGATATGCTTTTAATGAAAGATCGGAAACCTCTTCCTGTCATTCCCAACATTGAACTCAGATTAATTTTGCTGAGCATACATTAAACCAAGAACTGCAATGTTTTTTTAGCCAACGAAAGTGATCTACAGCAGTAAAATATTGTATGCCCACCCATGTCTTAATTGAAGGTTTGTGTCTGCGTGTGTGTTATGTGTGTGCTCTGTTTGTGTACGTGTGGTGGGTGGGGGCTGAGAGTAAGGGAGATAAAGAGGGGGTTGTGGCATTTGGTCGAACACCTTTGAGCCATCGTGTGTTCACGAGTGGTGAGGGTGTCCTGTGTGTACGCGGTGTATGAGGATGAGTGCTGCGTGCGAGTGAGTTTAAGTGAGCGGAGTGTTCTTTGTGTGCGCTGTGTGAGGGTGAGGGTGAGTGGGTGTGAGTGCGACTGTTTGTGAGTGTCCAGTGTGTGCGTTGTGTATGTGTTGTGCTTGTAGGTGTGTGTGCGTTGTGTATCTGTTGTGCGTCTGCCTGGGGGGGGAGAGATGGGGGGAGATACCTGGTGGCGTTGCGGGTGGTGTTCGATGACTGGCTGCTGGGGTGTCTCTGCCAGAGAGAAGAGAGAAGGGGAGAGGGAAAGAACAGATAGAGGGGGCGCTGCTGGATAGAGAAGAGAGTGAAGGGGGCGGAAGATTAGGGCAGAGAAGGGGCAGGAAGGTGAGATTAAGGCGTCAGCGTGACAGAAGGAGTGGCTTATAATCCGATCCGAGTTCAACCCGATTATTTATATTGGATTAAACCCAGATCATACAATTGCCTAGGGTGCAACTTGGGTTGAGCAATCGATTTTAACTCGAGTTTAACCCAAAAAAATTAGGGTTTGGATAAGAATTTTTAATATTTGGATTAGACTTGAGTCAAAAAATTCTAACTCAAATTCAATTTTGGTTGAACTCGGGTTAAGGCCTCAAGTTCACGGGTTCAACCCAAACCCGACAAATCAAAAAAAAATTATATATATATATATATATATATATATATATATATATAACATTAGTTCTGATTTTTCATTTTTCAAATAAACCCCCTATCTCTGTCTCTCTCGCAGTACACTGGTGGTAATGGTTTTTATGTTCTAATTATGATTTTTATGTTAAAAATTTGGTTGAAGTTATTGGTTATTAATTTATATGAATATTATATAATATATGTATTAGGTTTAAAACAACAAGCTTATTTTGAGTTCTATTTCGAACTCAATCCGAATTGAACCCGTAAAATAACCCGAATCAGTCTGAAATCATTAATTCGAATTCAACTCAAGCCCGCCTGAATTAAACTCGAGCAGTGCTTTAGTTGAGTTCCTCAACCCGAGGTAAGGTTAGGGTTAGGGTTAAGGTTAGGGTTAGGGTTAAAGTTGAAAATTATATACCTAAAGTTGAGTTAGTGTTGACTATCCAACCCGCCCGAGTTACACCCCTAAATTGCTGTTAAATTTGGGTTCAATTTTCGGGGTTCCAAAAATATGAATACTCCACATCAATTAATCCAAATCTCAACGAAATTATTTAAGGAGAGGTGTAGAGCGTGGGGTGACTCAACTTGAATCTGTCACCTCTCTAGCTCTTTTAAATTATGTTTTGATTTTTTTTTAAATAGTATTTATTTTATATTTTTATGTTTTCATTTTTTTTCTTTTTGCAGTTTGAAATCCCTTTTCAAGTTTAAATTTATGTAAGTATATGTATTTAAATTTTTCTAAAATAATAAATACATATATTTTCATTTTTCTAGAAAATTTTTTTTTGCTCCCTTAAAAAATACTTCACATAAACTGTTCTCAAATTAACTAATCTTACAAGGAATTTTACATTGAAGAATCTGACAAATTTTGGAGAATCTGACAAATTTTGGAGAATCTGACAAATTTTATCGTGCATATTGATGATGTACAAAATATGTTTATACACCACCTATTATGTTTTTAATGCAATAATTAAGAAGAAAATTAAACACAAGCAAACACAAATTGAGTAGTTTGATTGAGTTGTCCAAATACTAAGACAGTGTCAAATTCTTTTCTACTCGAATTCTTTTTAAAATATGTTTTAACTCCGAAGTACTTCATAACTTCTAATACACCCCATATTACATTTTCCAAGATTTCTCGACCTTCTAAATTCAATGAAAACCTTATTTTGACCTAAAAATATTTACAAAATTACTTAATCACCCTTCTCAAACATAAACACTTTCGAAACTCAGTCAGACCCGAAAGTCAAATCGCCCGAAACTCAAATTTCATGATCAATATTTCAATAATGATTCGAAGTTTATACAATATTTTTATTCATCCTATGACAAATATTAATATGATATTATTCTCATTTAATTCTACAACAGAGTCTTACAACTTTAATTATAAATATAATTTAATTAGTTATTAAAAATATTATTATTCAAATATGTCACGTGCAATACACGCACCTATATATATAATTTAATAGAATAGTTAATATGTAAAATTTTAGAATGGTTAGGGATAAATTGGTAAAATAGACATTTCTAGTACTTCCATTACCAAACAAACAGTGACAGAGGGTGTCATTGAAATTTCAGAAAAGACAAGAGGAGGTATTGAAATTAGACCTATCTACAGGGGGTGTGGATGCAAATTAAAAGGTTCTGAGTGAGATAAGACTTGGTTGAGTTGTCTCAATCGAGTCATACAAAACTCTTGACTTATGCATAATATGGAACGACATCAAATTAGAAGGTTCTAAGTGAGATAAGACTTGGTTGAGTTGTCTTGGTATTTGGTCATACTTTGAACCATGAAACAATGTTCTAGGACTATTAGATGACGTCAAGTGACAACGGTGCAATGTGGCTATTGTTGGAACCAATAGGTGATGGAGTCAGGGTGGCAAACATCCATGATCCATCTTACATCGATCACGCAAGAAAATAATTAGGACTTAAGATATAAAGTTTGAAACAAAACCACTATGCTTTAGATTAATCTTCAATCTTTGGGTTTGGTTTGAGTCGAATTTTTATATGAGCCCAAATTCTAACTGTTATTAGAGAAACAAGTCAATGGTCTATCAATTACATATTGTGCGTATTTTTTTTTATTTTTTATTTTTAGTTTGAAGTTGCTAATCTATTAGAATTGTCAGAGTGAAATCGGCAATTAATTTTTGATGATATCTTACACCGCCAGAGGTGACAACTTGATTTTGTGCCAAATAGTAGTTGAAATTAAAGCAAAAGAAGCGGAAAAGATATATATACGTCTAAAGGTCATATAGTATTCTCCACAAAGTCTAAAGAATTAAAACATCTAATTAGGAATAGGTAGACAAAAATACAAAGGAAAAGGCAAAAATTTAGGCTCAAGTCCAAGAGGCCAAATATGCGAACCGATACATCAATCTGTTTCCATTGTTATCATTTGCGTCTTCAATATGATAAGTCTTAATTGCTCCAATGTTTTTGAGGAGATTTTGTTTTATAATGCATGAAGCATCTTGGTTGCAAGTCTTGCAGATGTTAATTCTATTGAATGTTCATCCCTTAATTGCTCTAATTCAAGAGACAAAACTGTCCACTCAATTTCTTTCATTAGACTTATCCCCTTTACCTTCCTTGTGATTGTCGCTTATTTTTTGCCACTATTAAGTTTTTTGGTTGACATTTTTTGTTTGCTTTAAGTTGGTAGAGGCATGAAGGGTAACAACTTACTCCTTTCTTCTAATCTTAATTACATATAAATTAATAATAAACAAAATTACATATGTGTGAATAATATACAATACATTTCTAAAATTCATTTATATCATTTTACAAAAATAATAATTAGACGCGTTTTTACTTTTTAAATTATTTTCTTTGCTTTAAAAATTACTCAAAAAATTCTTCGATATTTTCATCATGCAAAAGGTACTCCATTATGACTCGTGCATACGATTTTATGTCATAAAAAATTACAACTTCGTTGACAGATAAAAATGCATAGATCTAAATTTCTTCAAATCATATAACAACGTAAGTCTTGAGGATTGTTCTTATCCATTTTCTAATATTTTAACCTTTTATGAAGCATAGTTGGAGCAACAAAAAAGGGGAAAAAATGTCAACAACAAATCAATTCTTGGGTCAATAAAGCAAAAATAACAAAACCAATCAACTAAATTAAAAATTTGGTGAAGAGGCTCCAGCCACCAAAAAATTCAAATGTTCATCACAATATTATCAAACAACAGAATGTCCCTATTCCAATAAAAGTTGTCACTAAATGTTTTAGTGGCAAAAAAAATTTGTCACTAGGTCGTCACTATAGTTGCATCAATAAAAGTTAATAGTGATGATCTAGACTAGGCACCACAAAAGGCTAACGCGTTAGTGACGACTAAAAATTCGTCACTAATGCATTCATAATTGTGGCAGAAATAAGTGCCACGTATTATGTAAAAAAGTTGTCACTAGAGGACATATTTTTGTCACATAAAAGTTTGACCTATATGCAAAAATATTTTTTGGTGGCAAAATATTTAGCCATGAATTTGTAAGTCTCTACTATTAGTGACATTATTCTTAGATCACTAATGTCTATAGCTTCAAATTATATCTGGTCACTTTTAGTTTGAAATCTTGCATTATGTCACTAAAGCATTTCCTTCAATGACGACCAATTTGGCTGTCTCTATAATATCCTATAGAACATTTTTTGTGACAAAATTCAAAATCATTACTAAAGGGTTTTTACTATAATTTAGTGATGGTTGTATCCTTGTCACTAAAATATGTATTGCACTTTTTTGTGACAATTTATAATCGTCAATAAAGTCTTTGGTTATAATTTAGAGACGATAGTTATGGTCATCTGTAATGGCCTTTCGGTATCGATCATTTACTACCATAATTGGTGTAGAACCTATGAAATTTTTGTAATACAACTATGCCAAATCTTATATCATCTTTACAAGTAAATCAAAATCCAAATGCATTGGTTGCATTAAAACAAATACTTATTGAAATAAACATAAACATTAAGACTGTGCATGATCCGATTTTATTTCCAAGTGAAAAAAACAAATGAGGTGCATCCCCCAAATAGGAAATTCAAAATAGACAAATTGTCCATATCTATGCAACTTCTACAATTCTGAGAAGAGTTCAAATATACTTAAAATCCTACTCTGTAAAAAAAAATTGCAGTTCGCTTTTGTAGTATCACCGGCCTAGTCCTTCCACTTTTGTGAACAAGTTTCTTTATTCTTGTAAGTCATAGTCAACATGCATCTTTTAAAGCAATTAAACAATCCCATCATTAATGAAACACTTCCATTTAAAATCACACAAGGAAAACGAATGAAATAAAATTCATTCATTATAACGTATGTTATAAACATTTGGAAGATACCATTAAAGATGAGTCGTAAACATTTGGAAATACCATTAAAGATAAGCTACTATTACTATAAGAAATATTTGAAAAACTCCTTTATTTCATCAAATTTTAGCAATACAGACACAAAAAATTGAATTAAAAACACTCAAGATTGGAGCTGAAGCCCATCAAGTTCACGTCCAACAACATTACAACCATTACTGCGCCACCTATGTTTTTAGGCCAAAAACTTCATGTTTTCTTTTTTGATAATGCTACAATTTTTCAACATCACTCACAAATTTATATTCTCTTTTAGTTTCCATCAAAACAAACCCAACATAATGTTTGCTTTTGAGCAACCAACTCTCCATGGTTGCCCCTACAGTAACGGGTTGTCCACTTGATAACTTTTTACCTCTACTAAAAGTCAATAAAAAAAATTCTACTTGCTGTGGAGGACAATCACAAATAAATACATCATAACAAACCAAAACTAAAGTATAAAAAATACTCATTTAAAATTGGGTTTATTGAACTAACACTATTAGTTATGACTTTGTAAATTTGTGATACTCGAAATGGAATTGCAATAGAAACTATGATTCATCCTACAAAGTAAAAATGAGTAGCCTAAAAAAAAGTAATTTAGCTAATTCACAATAGGCCAAGTTGAGTGCCACACTGCAATCATCTATCATTTAACAAAGTTAAAAATTATGGTGTTATCAAACAATAAGGAAAGCAAAAATGCTAACTTAAAGATTTTGTCAATCCAAATATTCCTCTTACTATGGAGAAGTAGTAAGAATATGCCCTCTGCTACGCAGCTGTTGCATTAGTGTTTGCAAAATCTTATTTGTGACATTTTGTGTTTCCTTCATCCGTTCACATCCAATAGCTAGACATTTAGTTTCTCGGTCAACTCATGGACTCTCCTATTAGCTACCTCTAACTCTGATCGATCATGCTGTTTGGATAAGGATGAGCTAGGCTTTTGAACATGTCCATGACCAAATATGTACCCCGACTTGTGACCAAGAATTTAGCAAATTCCCTCCTCATTCAGTAGTGTTTCCTCTTCTCCTACAAATTGAGATTTAAGCTTCATCATTTGCTCCTGAAGTGGAAAAACAACTCAATATTCACTTCACATAAAAAATAGTTTAGTATTTACAACTAATAACTTTACCAGGATAGAAACTTATGTAATTTTCCTATGCATTTTCATTAATCCAAGTGTTCTTCCTTTCACTATAGCTAGTTATTTTGTACAACTCAATTGGCCCAAGCTTTTCCCCAATCTTGGCTTTCTACATCCATTCAAATCCATGTTTAGAACGTATATACCTATATGCTTACGTACATCATACACTATGACCAGTATCATATTGTTACCCTTTCAGCTCCAATCTGAGCAAAAGACTTTGTTCCAAGAAAGTGAGGAGTGTTTTGCATTGCTAGATTCTTTGCATTATGTGCACTTTTTTTTCTACATTAAAAGATAATTGGTATCTCAAATGTATAATAAGCATAAACTAATTGAGTAAAAAAATTATTTTTAGTATGAAGTCTGCACAAAAACTTTGAATTCATCTGATGAAAAGTAAGAACCTAGATAATTCCAATCTTCCTGTGATGTGCCTAGTGGTGGATGTTGCATTGCCTCTTCTATTATTGCATGTGGCTTGAAGTAATTCTTGTCTAGTCTATGTCGATGGGTCTTGTATTGCTTACTCATTTGTCCACATGCAATTTCTTTACCAGGCTTTCGTTCATCAAGGTTAAAATGAGTCCTATAAAAGAGTTCCAAAATTTTCAACATGAAATCAAATGAATCCTAAAATTACTACACTATTCTTAGATATATGCATAAATTAGTGGAGGTGTTGGTGATGGTGAGTGATTGTGGAGGTGTTGGGATATGGTGGCAGGAGGTTTGGGTGATTAGTGGTTGTGGTCAGAGGTATTAGGTGTTGGTGGGTAGCATTTGAGATGTATGATGGTGGGCGGTTATGAAGGTGTTGGGTAGTGTGTAGTGGAAGGAAGCTTGGGCACAAATTGGGAATAAAGACCTAGAGTCCATTGGATTTCTTATTTTGGCTCAGATTATTTGTTATATTTCTAATAAACATATCATTTTCATGTTTAAATGATTTGTAGAATTGATTTGAGCTCATTAATATTCATATGATTTTTGCTGTGAGTAACACCTAGCACGCCACAACTACCAAGAATGCCAAAATGAATTATAATTTTTTCTGGTTACTTTGTATTTTTAGGTATGGGCAATTAATATTATATGTATACTTCACTTAATGTACATATATAGATATGTTTATGGTATCCAAAATTATTTTTGGATATGATCTTAAAAAATATTTTTAGGCTATTGATTTAGATCCAAATATAATTTTGTTAAAAACCAAATAATGAGTTGATAAATTGTTCGAAAGTTTATAATCATTTAGGTATGGGTATATCCAAATCGATATCACTATAATATAATACTAGGGTGGGTACAATTAAATGTCTAAATTTTATTTGGGTTAATCGCAAATTACACCTTGAAAGATCGTTCGAATCTCAATTTACACTCTCAAAGAAAAAAAATCTTAATTTGTACCCTTAAAAATAGAAATTTATATCAATGCACACCTGAAACTAACAACTGTCAGTTTACCGTCTAAAATTAAATGGATAAATTATACCTAGATACCCTCATGTTTGTCACTTAATCATTTGAACCTCCTCACATTTAGAATATAACTCCTACACTTCATAACGTTTGTGCATGCATAACACATAATCCCTTGCCGTTGATATCTGTTAGTATAACCGTTAAAAATATGATTTCATTCTAATAAAAATCTATAATTTTCATACTACCCTTTATTTTGTGGGCTCGTTATATTCTAAAGTTCAAAATCAAGCTTACCATTTGAATTCCTAATATAATGCAAGTATTTATTTAATGTTCTTTATATCGAATGCAATACATCACTTAAATAGAATTATTTAGACGCCCAATTGGGGAATGTTTTTAGTCATATTTGGATTCTAAAGGAATGTAGGTGTAATATTTTAAATGTGGGGGTTTAGGTGATTAAGTGACAAGCATGAGGGGGTCGAGGTGTAATTTATCCATTTGATTTTAGATGGCAAACTAGCAGTTGTTAGTTTGAGGTGCTCATTGATACAAATTTCAATCTTTGATGGTGAAAATTAAGGTTTTTGATATTTGATAGTACAAATTGAGATTCGAATGGTATTTTAGGGTTCAATTTGAGATTAACTCATTTTATTTAAAAAAAATACATAACTAATGTAAAAAAAAAATTAAAGTTGTGCTATAAATGAATTTGAGAGAGCACTAAGCGAGGGGTGATAGAGATGTGATTGGGAAATTAGTTGTTTTTATTGGTCAAGCATGATAAGAAAGTGATCCAAAAAACTCTGTAAATTTATCAGTTAAATAAAATACATTAAAAGAAGGATCAAATGTGGAAGTGTTGAGCTGGTGGTGCAGAATTAGATATATTGGGAAGTCGGGATAAAGTAGTTAAAACTAATGGGATTAGATATATTGGGTAAGTCTTTCTCTTACAAAGGTGGATTGTCCAACACGTTAGACAACAAGGGTTTTCCTTTGTCTAGTATTAAGGTGATTCACTTTTGTTGGGACTTGAATTGAAAACGTCTAGAAGCTTTGACATTGAGCATATGTCTTTCCAGCGGATTGCCATTTATTGACGTCAAGGGCAAGGGATACTCTTGGTGTTTGGAGATTTGCTTTATTTTTGGAGATTCCCTCAAATAATGATAGATCATTAATATGTTTTCTTGTTCTCTTGTTTTAAGAACGTTGTAAAATCTTGCCACTATATTTCGTGAACATAGACTTTCTTGTTATTTTTTTTTTGACAGAAATTATAGAATATATATTAAGTAGGAAAATTTGAATAGTGGAATGGAACTAAAATTATGGTGCCACATCTTCCCAGACATNTTGACAAAAATTATAGAATATATATTAAGTAGGAAAATTTGAATAGTGGAATGGAACTAAAATTCTGGTGCCACATCTTCCCAGACATTAAAGTGTTCAAAGCATCTAGCCCTCCTACCAAGCTAATGCGCAACACAATTTCAAGTTTGTCAAATTGTAGAAACTGAGAAAGAACAAAAAACTATGTAGAACACACCTAACATCAACTATAATTGATCTTAAAGGAGAAAAATCCTCATTAGTATCAACTGTCATCTTCATCACAGTAGATGAGTCCCCTTCCAACACAATCTCCACACACTCCATCTGTTTAGTGAATAACAAAGCCTCCCTTGCAGCAATGTCCCTGTTGTTTGCGCATCATACAACAATTTTATCTTTTTCAACATCTCTACAATAAACAACCATGAATTGTCCCTAATCACAATACCCACTCCAAAATCCCCTTCAGAGACAAATAACGCTCCATCAAAATTTACCTTGAATGAACCTGAGCTTGTGGGAAACCAACGATTTGGATCTGCCATATTGGTAAGCGAGAAACCCATCTTTGTTGCCTATTCAAATTGTTCGAGATACGCCGTTGCATTTTGGACCAACACCATAGGATCGTTTTCCAAATCCTGGAAGAGGAGTTCATTTCTATTCCTCCAAATGAACCAGCAGTGCAACAGGAAAAGAGAAAATAGATGGGGCATTAGGTGCTGAGTGATGTCCAAATCCAGTGTTGGATATGAGTTGCAAGTCTGTGAACCATGTAGCATAGTAGATTGCCCTTCTAAGACTTCTGTGCCCAAGAGCATTCCTTCAAAATGTGTAAAATAGACTCATTCTCCACTCCACATACACAACACGCACTATTCGAGCGAATCTTCCTTCGCCATAAATTCTCATTTGTAGGAAGAACATCTAATAACATTCTCCATGCAAAAATTTTAACTTTACTTGGGACTCGCTGATTCCATAGTGCCTTCCAGTTACAATCAAGACTCGATGAAGAGCTTGCAGTGGACATTCTCGAAGAATATAAATTAGCCTCATAAGCTAAGTGATATGCACTCCTTACAAAGAATCTACCATTATTGTTATAGTGTCATATTAATTTATCTTCTATTGGAGAAACTCCTAAAGGAATCTGTTTGATTACCTTGGCTTTGTGTTCCAAAACAACAACATCAATCAAATGTGTTTTCTAAGCTTGAGTTTGGGGGTCAATAAGTGGGCTGACCATAGCCTCCTCCTCCAACATTTGCATAGGGCTCACCACTTTGAAAGTAGTGGGTGTTGGAATCCACTTATCGTGCCACACTTTAACTTTGAAACCATCACCAATCCTCCATCTTAATCCGACTTCAATCACTTTCCTTGCCTCTAGGATGCTCTGCCAAGTGTATAATGGCCTGTAACTCAGCTTGGCACTCATGAATGATGTTGACGGAAAATATCTCACTTTCAAAACCTTGTGAAAAAGAGTATCAGTATCATGATGGATCCTCCATGTTTTTTTGGCTAGCATCACCATGTTGAAAGTTCTCAAATCCCTAAAGCCCATGCCACCATAGTGTTTGCCCTTGCACATATTAGACCACATTACTCAACGAATTTTCCTCTCCTCTTCCTTTTGACGCCACCAAAAATTGGAGGCTAGAGACTCCAAATCACTACACAAATATTCTGGAAGCTTAAAACATCTCATAGCATATGTCGGAATTGACTAGGCCAGCGCTTTGATTAATCTTTCTTTACCCACCCTTGATAATAGATGCTCTTTCCACCCTTGTAACTTTTGCCAAACCCGCTCCCTTAAACTAGCAAACACCTCCTACTTAGACTTGCCCACTACATATGGCAATCCTAGGTATTTTCTCATGTTGTTGTACACCAGAAATGCCGAGAATAGTTTGCATTTCCACTACACTTGTCTTTGGAACATTTTTATTGCCTACCATTGCAGATTTTTCCAAACTAATTTGTTGTCCTAAAGCTGTTTCATATAGACGCAAAACTTCCTTAATAGCAGTTGCAGGTGTTTCTTGTAAAGTTGAACCACTTAAATTTGTGTGTTTTGTTTTTTTATTCAGTTTCAATTTATTTTTTTTATGGCCTTAGTTCATAATAAATCTGGTGATGGAAAATATGTTGATCAGATACCGTTTCCATCCTTCGAAAAAAAACTTAATAATTTATCTTTGTTAAAGGTATTAAGTACTCAATTGCCATGCGAAAGTGTCATGAACGAGTGATATATATGGTGACATTGACGACCCGATGAATCTATTTAAAACAGGATCAAAAGAGAGAGTTGTTTATGCGTTTACAAAGTTGAAGAAGATGAGCAGCTAGCGAATTAAATGCACGGTGGCAGTTGGGAAGGGTATGTGGAGGGGTTCAGATAAGGCGAGTCCTGTATTGGATCCACAGAAGAATAATACTATAATTGGATGGAAGAGAAACTTTTTTTACGAGATCACAAAGACCTGGGCCAAACTCGGATACAACATGATTGAGTATAGCCTTCCCGACTCTACATTGAACAATGAAACAATTTTGTTCAGAGACTATGTTCTTTGCCTCATCAAGAAGAAGAAACCACCACAAATGAATCACTTACATTCACATGATAACTTTGAAGAACTAATAGAGGGAGACTTGTTTGCCATGTTAGCGGAAGATCTTTATCATTTCACTCCATTGCAACCATATGAGTCGATTGAATTGGGTGTCCCTGTGGCCCAATTTGAAGGATATCCATATCAAGAACACATGCGCATGGCAGTGACCCCTGAATTAGGTGTTTTATACTATAGATGAGACGGGTCTATAGAATTTCAAGTACCAAATAGTGTCATGGCTGCCTTAACAGAAGATGATAGGGAAGCTATTCCTATAAAGACAATCAAACAATGAGCTGAGCCTTTCAATGGTCCAACTTGAAGGATATCATTATGAGGAATACATGAGCCGTATTAATAACATGGGGACAACACCAGTTGCCTAATGTGGATCCATCATAGATGCATCAGTGGCACCCGAATTAGGTGCTTTATATTGTGGTGGAAGAATCAGATTTGAATGTCAAATACAAAGTAATATTATGCTTTGTGTAGTAAAGTCTCCAATATCAGAAGAATGTTGCTTGCCTGCTCTGGAAACATGGGATTACACTGACCTATTTATACCAGATAACTCAAATTGGGATGGTATCACTAGGGAATTCCTTGCTAAGTTGCTGACTGTTGATTAGGAAGAGCTGTCGAATGGTGATCAGGAAAAGGCTTTACAAGAGAGTGCAATTTCCATGATACTGCCAAACTCATCTGGTGTCCAGAATCTGACTAACTGTGGATATTAGGATTTATGTTTACTAGACTTAGATTACCAATAAATGTGGATATTTGTCTTTGGTACATAGTAGGGACAATTACTACACTTACATTTGAAGCATGTACATTTTAGTATGGCTCCATGTTGTTTGTTACTCATTGGCTGTCAAATCCTAAAGTATTTTAGCAGGTGCTACCTGTAATTTTGTATGGTCTTTCTAGTGGACTACTATGTAGAAAAGCATAGTGGCCTTTGGCTTGCACATAGGGTTTTATTTGAATTTTCTTGGATGATATGAAGGAGTTTACAATTGTTGAACTGACTTAAATTTTAGTCATATGAAGTGATCGTCATTCGCTTGCGTGTGCTTTTGATTGCCTTCAAATTCTTATGTGCATAATTTTCAGTCGATCACGTTTAGTTGCATTTAAGTTGTAACATTTAGAATCCATTAGCTTTTAAATCCTTGCAACTTCTTGCCTTCTTCTATATTATGTTTTGGTTTGCTAGATCCCATTTTCTTGCCTATGTTTTGTGTTCTAGTCTTTCCGGTGGAATATTATGCAAACAAAGGTTGTGCCCTTTGGTTGTACATATATGGTTTTAGTTGCAGTGTGCCATTTACTACTTTACTTATCTACTTCTATCAATGTCTTAGCTAATTTATAATTAGGTTTACATGTAATCCACTAACTTAAAACTGAGAGTCACATGAAGTGGTGGTCATGTGCTTCACACTCTTTTGGTTGCCTCCATTAGAAACTTCTTTATGTGTGCAATCTTTGTTTTATAATTCTCCATGAGTTTCAGTCATATTATCATTCATACAGCTTTGCCCATAAGGAGGGATTTCTTCTTGCGTTTCTGTTTCTTATCTGCACTTAGTTTGAGTGGTTAGTTAAAGTATGCTCCTTTGTATGTTCTTCAATTTTAGCAAAACCTATAAGACATTGTTGTGCATACTCCCAGCTATTTCTCTGATACTTGATCATTGAGTAACCTCCAGGACCTTTATTTTGGTTAAGTCTGATAGAAAAAGAAACAAAAACATTTTGACACATGAGAATTTGATGTTTTAGGGCCCAACATTATCAAGGAGACCAAGTAATTTTTCTTAATAGTCTTATAACGTTCTTGTTTATAAAGCAAGTGTTTTTTTTCAAATGGTGGTTCAAGTTTTCTTTGGCAACATTCTCCCTATGGTCTAGTTATTGAGATTGAATCTCTTCGCGATGTGGCACTTGGTGTTCGTCAGCGTTATGCAAAAACCTATGTGTCCTTTGGTTTGATTGCATACATGGTCAAAGTGTCATCTTTACTTATTTTCTTCTATCAATGTTTTAGTTGATTTATAAATAGGTTTACATCTGTCAGACTAACTTAAATCTTAGAGTCAAATGAAGTGGTAACCATCCACTTGCCTGTGCCTTTGATTGCTTCCATTAGGAACCAATTTTAGTTCCATAAAATTACCGGTCATGGCTGCATATGGTCCTGTTCTGTAGTATATTTTGGTTTGCTATATGTCACCTCTAGATTTGGTGGGAGTTTGTTCTCGACTCTTTTTATCTAGTCTAATATTTATGTCGGTGCTTTCTGAACTAACCCCTAATTAGACTATCTACGCTAATTTAGGACCCCCTCTTGTTCTTTCGTGCACTTCTAATTTTCGTGTCAAAAACACATGCTCCTTTGGATTTCTTGAAAATCTGAGACCTTTCTAGTTTTACATATTTCAAATATCGACGTTGAATTATGTTAAGATGAACTGGTTGTATATTCAGGTATCAGCATTGCTTCCCTTTGTGGTTATCATTTTTATCAGTGTAGCAGAGGTTTCCTCCCACATATACACAAGTTTGCTCATAATAGTGGATTTCTTTTTGGTTTTCTTCTTGTGTTTGTGTTTTTGATGTGCCCACAATTTGGTTTGGCTAGCCAAGGATATGCATGCTCCTATGCTTCTTCTTTTCTAACTTTAATGGCAGTTTGTGCATTTTGTTTTTTTGCGTTGATTATGCGTATCTTGGTTGCAACTCAACACATTTTATCGCGCTAGTGATATGACTAAATTTTCTTCATTATCCGTTAATGTTATTGTTGGTTTCAACTAACTGATAAAATCAAATCTTTCTCAATCTCACGGCACTATTGAAGATGGCATTAGAAACATCATTTAGGTCCATTCACACTATGTTAGAGAAGTTAAACTTGTAAACTTGCACCAAGTACATACAAGGATAAATAATAGGAAAAAAAAATAAAAGCTCATATGACCTAAAAGAACAAGCTGAATTACAATTCTAATGATGGTCCAGAAAATTTGCACCCGGACTCTCGATTGATACTACACTCTCCATCATCCAATATTCGGCAAAGACATCTAATACTCAGTTGTTAGCATACTTCTTGTTTATGTACTTGGCACAATGGAATTTGTTTTTGTTCCAATTTCAAATAAGCCATTCCAATTGCAGTAGGGTTCACAGTTGGCTTGGTTATGTTTCTTGGTTGAATTGATTAAAATGATATTTGTTCTTGGTGTCATCTCGAACTTTCTTCCTACTTCAATGTGGAGATGCAACACGGGCTATCTCGTGCCTATAATTAATTGTCGAAATCCCTCCCACATTTTAAGTATCTCAATGGAGATAGTCTTGTCTAAGAAGCCAAACCAACAGTATAAAACCTGGACTTCTTTGTATTTATCCAAACCAATTATCAGACCATACTATACGACTAGTTTTAGCTATCGCCTTTTTTAGAGTACGATAAATCTTCATGCTTTGCAAGTTTCAATTTGCTAAAATCAATTAGGCAAACCATTGTACTTTATGTTTTGTTCAATAGGAAATCGATTAAGGCTCAGAATTTTGTACACTGGCAAGATGTCTTGCTCAAGTAATACAATATTGCAGCAAAACTATTGGGTCATTCATACCTCATTAACCTAAAAAAANTCCATGTTGTTTGTTACTCATTGGCTGTCAAATCCTAAAGTATTTTAGCAGGTGCTACCTGTAATTTTGTATGGTCTTTCTAGTGGACTACTATGTAGAAAAGCATAGTGGCCTTTGGCTTGCACATAGGGTTTTATTTGAATTTTCTTGGATGATATGAAGGAGTTTACAATTGTTGAACTGACTTAAATTTTAGTCATATGAAGTGATCGTCATTCGCTTGCGTGTGCTTTTGATTGCCTTCAAATTCTTATGTGCATAATTTTCAGTCGATCACGTTTAGTTGCATTTAAGTTGTAACATTTAGAATCCATTAGCTTTTAAATCCTTGCAACTTCTTGCCTTCTTCTATATTATGTTTTGGTTTGCTAGATCCCATCTTCTTGCCTATGTTTTGTGTTCTAGTCTTTCCGGTGGAATATTATGCAAACAAAGGTTGTGCTCTTTGGTTGTACATATATGGTTTTAGTTGCAGTGTGCCATTTACTACTTTACTTATCTACTTCTATCAATGTCTTAGCTAATTTATAATTAGGTTTACATGTAATCCACTAACTTAAAACTGAGAGTCACATGAAGTGGTGGTCATGTGCTTCACACTCTTTTGGTTGCCTCCATTAGAAACTTCTTTATGTGTGCAATCTTTGTTTTATAATTCTCCATGAGTTTCAGTCATATTATCATTCATACAGCTTTGCCCATAAGGAGGGATTTCTTCTTGCGTTTCTGTTTCTTATCTGCACTTAGTTTGAGTGGTTAGTTAAAGTATGCTCCTTTGTATGTTCTTCAATTTTAGCAAAACCTATAAGACATTGTTGTGCATACTCCCAGCTATTTCTCTGATACTTGATCATTGAGTAACCTCCAGGACCTTTATTTTGGTTAAGTCTGATAGAAAAAGAAACAAAAACATTTTGACACATGAGAATTTGATGTTTTAGGGCCCAACATTATCAAGGAGACCAAGTAATTTTTCTTAATAGTCTTATAACGTTCTTGTTTATAAAGCAAGTGTTTTTTTTCAAATGGTGGTTCAAGTTTTCTTTGGCAACATTCTCCCTATGGTCTAGTTATTGAGATTGAATCTCTTCGCGATGTGGCACTTGGTGTTCGTCAGCGTTATGCAAAAACCTATGTGTCCTTTGGTTTGATTGCATACATGGTCAAAGTGTCATCTTTACTTATTTTCTTCTATCAATGTTTTAGTTGATTTATAAATAGGTTTACATCTGTCAGACTAACTTAAATCTTAGAGTCAAATGAAGTGGTAACCATCCACTTGCCTGTGCCTTTGATTGCTTCCATTAGGAACCAATTTTAGTTCCATAAAATTACCGGTCATGGCTGCATATGGTCCTGTTCTGTAGTATATTTTGGTTTGCTATATGTCACCTCTAGATTTGGTGGGAGTTTGTTCTCGACTCTTTTTATCTAGTCTAATATTTATGTCGGTGCTTTCTGAACTAACCCCTAATTAGACTATCTACGCTAATTTAGGACCCCCTCTTGTTCTTTCGTGCACTTCTAATTTTCGTGTCAAAAACACATGCTCCTTTGGATTTCTTGAAAATCTGAGACCTTTCTAGTTTTACATATTTCAAATATCGACGTTGAATTATGTTAAGATGAACTGGTTGTATATTCAGGTATCAGCATTGCTTCCCTTTGTGGTTATCATTTTTATCAGTGTAGCAGAGGTTTCCTCCCACATATACGCAAGTTGGTCATAATAGTGAATTTCTTTTTGGTTTTCTTCTTGTGTTTGTGTTTTTGATGCGCCCACAATTTGGTTTGGCTAGCCAAGGATATGCATGCTCCTATGCTTCTTCTTTTCTAACTTTAATGGCAGTTTGTGCATTTTGTTTTTTTGCGTTGATTATGCGTATCTTGGTTGCAACTCAACACATTTTATCGCGCTAGTGGTATGAATAAATTTTCTTCATTATCCGTTAATGTTATTGTTGGTTTCAACTAACTGATAAAATCAAATCTTTCTCAATCTCACGGCACTATTGAAGATGGCATTAGAAACATCA